CTCCTCCTCCTCCTCCTCTCCTCCTCCTCCTCTCTGCAAACCCCATCCCTTCTAATCCTGGTAGTGTTACCAAATTCGTTAATGAAACGTCTGCAGGAAAAAACCAAGCTCAGGGAGCACCAAGGACCCCATAGTTCTCCTCCTCCTCTTCCTCTTCCTCTTCCTCCTCCTCCTCCTCCTCCTCCTCCTCTCTGCAAACCCCATCCCTTCCAGCCCTGGTAGCGTTACCAAGTTCCTTAATGAAACGTCTGCAGGAAAACCACCCAGCTGAGAGAGCACCAAGGACCCAAAGCAGGTATCCTGAAAAGGACCCCGTTTCTCCAGCAGCTCCCTCATCCTAAGGACAGGAAAGTCGGGAGGCCCCAGCTGCCTTAGGGAAGCAGATTGCAGAAAGCCCTCTTTTTTCGAACCCAGCCCCTCCCCCAGGACCTACAGAGGACGTTCAAGGTGCTTAAGGAGGAGTTCCGCATCCTCTCACGGGTGTGGACCGTGCAGTAGTAGCTGCCCGCGTCTTCTACGGTGGCCTGGTGGAACACCAGCGTCCTGACCAAGCCGTCCGCATACCACTCGTTGTTCTTAAACCAGGTGTAGCGCATCTCCCCAGCGGCCTCACTGTCCACTGCACAGGTCAGGTTGACGGAGTTGCCCTCCAGGGCGTCTGGAGGAGAAATCCAGAGCTTTGCGGCTAGAAGGAGAGAAGGAAGAGAAGACTTGATACCGGCACAAAATGGCGGGGGGAGATTTTTCTGGATTTATATTCGGGGGTTTACCCGGAGGCAGAGTGGCAAACGGTCCCTTAACCAGCCCCCCTTCCCCCCCCTTGAAATATTTGGGTCTTGCAAAATCAGAAGGAAGGCAAAACAGGGCGAATTGCAGGTTTGGATTCCAGACATTTGTGCCATTTTATGACATGCATTTATTTATTATGAAATAATAATAATAATCAAGGCTAGAAGGAGTGGGCTTTGCCCTCTGTTTATATATAAGTGGCTAACCTTACTCCCTTCTAGCACTGATGATGTTCCCTAGTTGGGTCATGAAACGTCTGCAAGGAAACCACCCAGCTCAGAGACCATCAAGGATCCAATAGTCCTCCTCCTCCTTCTCCTCCCTCACCACTCCCTTCTAGCACTGATGATGTTCCCTAGTTGGGTCATGAAACATCTGCAAGGAAACCACTAAGCTCAGAGAACATAAAGGACCCCACAGTCCTCCTCCTCCTCCTCCTCCTCCTCCTCCTCCTCTCCACACATCCCACTCCTTTTTGCACTAATGATGTTACCCAGTTGGGTCATGAAACATCTGCAAGAAAACAACTGAACTGACTTTTGAAATAAAATCCTTTCTCAAATTCAACTGGCATCCAGGCCGCTTGGGGACGAGGTCAAAATGCACTTTTCCACACGCCTCCCCAACTACCCCCACGGGAGGCTGTGATTTCTGGTCACAAGGCTTTCTGGGGCGCCCTGAGCTCTGCACGGTCCTTTCCCAGAAGCTGCCGAGAAAACCGGAGGTCCCTCCTACTCACCCTCTGCTCTGAAGGTGACCCTGGCGCTCCCGTTGCCGTGTCGGTTGCTCGCAAAACACACGTATTCCCCTTCGTCTTCCATCACCACGTCCCAGATCTCCACCCTCAGGCTGTTGTAGGTGGGGGAGGCCTTCACCCGCCGGGGGTGGGCGAGAGCGGAGTCCGTGCTGGAGGCCAAGAGCTGCTGGCCTTTGCGTATGGCGAGGTGGGCCTGGGGGTCGCTCTCCACCGTGCAGAGGAGGACGGCCACCCGGTTGTCCTGTGTCTCAAGGAAAGCCGTGATCTGTGGGCTCCCAGGGGGGTCTGTGGGGGGAAAATCAAACAGCCTGATTGCAGAAGCCAGGGATGCCTGGAATCCCGAAGGTGGGTGCCACCTGCCGGATCGAATATCCAAATAAAAAGTCCAGGGTGACTTTAATTTCTGGAAAGCTTTCTGGTTTATTGAATACATGGCCTGGTATCGGCAAAGGAAAACTAATTCTAAAATCCCAAGGCAACTAACCATAGCATATAAGGACGACGTTCCCAGCCAAAATCCCCCAGATATCCACCTAGCTCATGGGAATAGAATAGAATAGAATAGAATAGAAAATATAGAATAAGGAATAGAATAGAATAGAATAGAATAGAATAGAATAGAATAGAATAGAATAGAAAATATAGAATAAGGAATAGAATAGAATAGAATAGAATAGAATAGAATAGAATAGAATAGAATAGAATAGAATAGAATAGAATAGAATAGAATAGAAAATGGATAAGATAGGATAGAATAGAAATAATAGAAATAGAAAGAAATAGAAATAGAAATGGAATAGGAATAGGAATAGAAAATGGATAGGATGGGATGGGATGGGATGGGATGGGATGGGATAGGATAGGATAGAATAGAATAGAATAGAATAGCATAGAATAGAAAATATGAAATGGAATGGAAGAATAGAATAGAATAGAATAGAATAGAATAGAATAGAATAGAATAGAATAGAATAGAATAGAATAGAATAGAATAGGAGCTGGAAGGGACCTTGGAGGTCTTCTAGTCCAGCCCCCTGCTCAAGCAGGAGAACCTACACCATCTCAGGTAAGTGACTGTCTAGTCTCTTCTTAAAAAACCCCAGTGATGGAGCACCCATGATTTCTGGAGGCAACTTCTGTTCCACTGGTTAATTGTCCTCACTGTCATGAAGTTTCTCCTTAATTCCAGGTTGCTTCTCTCCTTGATCAGTTTCCATCCGTTGTTTCTCGTCCTGCCCTCTGGTGCTTTGGTGAATAACCTGACCCCCTCTTCCTTGTGGCAGCCCCTCAAATCCTGGAATAATTGCTATCATGTTCTAGAATCTAGATCTAGAATGTCCCTGAAAGATTTCCAGACAGCCTCTCTCAGCAAAGTAAGCCAATAGCACCACCTGCTGGCCACAGAAGGCACAGCCAGGAATCGGTTTTCCATGGATTTACCGGTATATATATTTAGCTGGAGACGGGCCCAGCTGTTTCTGCGGGGGGGGGGGCGGGGGCGGGGGGGAAAAGCATGCTGGGATGGAGGAAGACCCCCCACACCTTCCTTATTTTGGCTTCATCTTTCGCAAAGGGGTGCTCTAAGGAAGGTTTCCGTGGAAGAGCAGAGCTTGAAGCAGGCAAACGCGCCATTAATTCTGCCTAAAATCAGCTTTTCCAACCCGTGGACTTGGGACTACAACTTCCAGACTCCCCAGCCAGCCAGTTTCCTACCCTTTGAGTCGAGAATCTAGAAGAAATGCAGGAAAGAGCAACAAAGATGATTTAGGGGCTGGCTGGAGGCTAAAACATAACGAAGAACGGCCGCAGGAACTGGGGATGTCTAATTTAGCGAAAAGAAGGACTAGAGGTGATAGGATAGCAAGTCTTCCAATATTTGAGGGGCTGCCCCAAAGAAGAGGGGTGTCAATTTGTTCTCCAAAGCCCCCGGACAAGAAGCAACGGATGGAAACTATTCAAGGAGAGAAGCAACCTAGAACGAAGGAAAAATTTCTTGTCCATGAGAACACTTCACCAGTGGAACGGCTTGCCACCAGAAATTGTGGGTGCTTCCTCATTGGAGGTTTTTTAGGAAGAGATTGGACAAACATTTGTCTGAAAT